TATGGAAGCGATTAGTCGATTCAAAGACCTCATCGGGAACTTCTGCCACAGTTCTTGTAGAACCGTCCTCCAATGTTGCGACGTTCTAGGCTGCTGACGTCCATTTCTCACTCAATCCCTGCTCAGTGGGATTGAAACCTGAAAAAAAGATGGCCACTCAAATATTGATGGTCTGTTGACGAAGAATTTCCGTGCTGTTAAAGAAGGTCCATGTTGACGCGTACGACACTTGCACATTCGTTATCTTACTGAAACGTGCCGCCATTTGCTATACTAAATTTCAGATGCAATGAACATGCCAAATTTTAAATTATGTAAACATTCTGAGGGCCAATACATATGGGCTTTAATCACTTTACAATTATGAAACAGGTCTAATCAATTTATACTAGATAGGTTGTTGGTCCTGATAGAGATACCAAGGTTTTTTAAGTGTTGGAGGAAAATGAAGTATTGTTTCGCTTGTGTATGAGCAGAGTGTATTCGGGTTTTTTTATGCATTGAACAAAAGTATAAAAAACCCTTTGTTATTTACATAACAATGAATGTTTCTGGGGGATAAAGTAACTGTTTTATGTTGCTTGTTTTGTAGGTCGCCGGAAAGATCCAGTCAATGACAAGTGAGTGTGTATTATCAAATTCGTTTAATTAGCATGACTTGTAAACCCTTTTTATATATTTTTGTCACATCATTTAGTGTCTTCCAACGATTCGTGCTGGCAGATTGCCGATGGTGCATAGTTAATAAGGTGTTTTATTTTTTTGTTTTAGCAGAGAATACGAGTCATTGGAGGGTCGGTCGAATCCAAACGTCTATGAAGAGCTCCATGGTACACCATCTGGTGAGTATCGATATCGTCTTTCAGATAATCGATACATGAAATAGAATCCAAATATTGCACAACTTTTAAGATAGCTTTGCAATTATACTGATTAACATCAAAAGACATTAGATGGTTCTTAAATATTCTTATTTCAGAAGATTACGCTTATTGTATAATATTTTATACGCGAATCAGGTCATTGTGTGTACTTTAGAATATTTGTTTTTGTCCGTTATTTATAATGGGTATTTTATTTGGTAGTTTCCTCATTTAGTATTATATTGCATTCATTCATGTAAAATGCATATATTTTGGGTACAAACAATTAGGTGAAAAGTAGAATCAGGACATACAAATATACTGTGTATATATAAAAAATCTTGTTTAAGATTGTTGGGGACAGGTGCTACACGTACACGCTAATCCCGATCATATCACAAAACTAGAAGCCAACATTAATAATAGCATGTTCGTCATTATTTTTTAGGTGATAAAGAGATATACATCAACACCGCAATTGCCGAGGGGTGTTTTGGTTCCGGAAATTAATCCATCTGGTTCACAAGAACTCGTAATAATGAAAAGCCAGAGAAAGCTTCAATTAATACGTAAGCTTTCCAAAAGGTTTCTATTGGACTAAACCTATCAACCGTAGACCGGAAATGTTATGAATAATAATCAATCTATATTAGTCATATATCATTGTGATTGTTATAATTATGGATGTATACAGTTCTGTGATTGCACAACGCACCAAAAAAAAACCTGAACACATCGTGTGCACAATTTGACAATGAGCATGCCAGCAGCCCTTACTTCTCCTCTGCACCTGTGACAGTCCGGGCATAAATATTGGACATGCATACTTGGATGATTTTATTGGGTATTCAGTCGTTACAGTATGACGGAATTATTTCGTTTTCCAATGCACTGCTTAATTTACGAGCTATTTCCAAAAACAGAGCAAGATATCTACACGTTTGAATGACTAAAATTAATAGCGTGTTACTTGGTAGGTTCATATTGTATTCCGCTTCAAAATGTTAATGATACAAGAACTTTGTTTGTGTTTTCAGCAATATATATTTAGAGGTTGACCGTAGAGAGAGGTGCTAATCTACTATTTCTTGCTNCATCAGTCGCCAGATAACAGCCAGTCAATTAGGCGAAAATGCTAGCAAGTATGTTTATGGTTTATTCATTTATTATTCCATTGTACAGATCACACAGGTACTATGTTATGCATTTCTCTCTCTCTATATATATCCTTTACGACGAACCCTCTATACATTTTACTGTAAATACATGTATGCCCTGAATGATATTATCGTATATGATGCAACTGGTATTCTTTTTAGAAATTGTAGGCTAGCAATTTGACGACATGTTCAGATTGTTTTCATTGAAACATGTGGAGGCCGCGGTTAAATGAATACTTACTCATAGGGCGAGTACATTTTGCAATAGGTATTTTTTTTAAATTGCAAGATTATTTTGAAATCCTATTTGTAAAAGAATATGTAATTTGATAGTCTAGTATGAGATATGTGTGCAGTCACTTCATTCTGTTTTGAGTAGTAAATTACATGTCTACCACGGGACAACTTAAAAATGAGACCACATGATGCCATATCTACGCATATAAAGGGATTATACACGAATCATTCGTCATCCAAACATATGTGTTTATACGGTTTTTGCATGTAAAGATTAACTTGTTTTTATACAAATGTATTGCTTTATTTCAAACGTATGTTGTATGTTATACAGCATACGTAGTATTGCAACAGAAATCAATATTCTGATTATTTGTTAAATTTGTATGTTTACATGTTTATAATATAGTATTCTAGAACATGTGATGTTTGCTAAACTATTGTATAGATTCAATTTGTTACTAATTGATTGAGAGTGTATTGAAATAGTATTGTTGTACCAGTTTTTGACAATGAAGTACTTTAACTAACTAACAATTTTAGCTCGCCTTATTTTATTCTTTTTTGTGTGTTTAACAGACAAATGTTTGTATCAAAAGACCCACGTGAAACTGCTCATGTAATAATCGTGGTTTTAAATATCGTAGTGCTACCCTTCAAGTATCTATAAATCAAATAAATAATGCATGGATGTACTTTAACTGGCTAGAAGCAACGTTATATTTATGTGATGCTTAAAAGACCCACCCCAACCCGTTATGCGCCAATCGTCTATGCCTTATTGATATACCAGCATGGTGTTTGATTATGTTTTTTAATGATTAACTGAATTTGTATCATGTGAACCTGAATATACTGTAATGTTGTTCAGTTAAACATACTTCGCACCATTTTACGCCACCATAGTACTGTACTTACCAGTTTTCATTAACGTAGGACATATGGTTATTCAGGAGGAGAGGTTCGAAAACATAATACATTTAGGATTAATTAATCTGAATCAACTTGCTAATCCTTCAATCGAGCATGCTTATGGCTAGATAGCATCACTGTTGGCCTGGGTATTCAGAATACGTTGTTTGAAATCATTAAAAAATAGCACAGATGAACATGAATGTGGATGAAAGTCAACCATTTAAATGAATTTTGAATTCCTTCATCACAACACGCTACTGGCTAGATATAATGGCCCTAATATTCTTAAAACATGAGAAGAAAATGTTATACCAATGCAAAAAAAATAATATTATTTGATCACTGCCGTTTAGCAAGAAAAGTAAGCAGTGACGTCCTCTCCTTCATACATGAATACCTCGTTCTTATTTTTGGTGTTGTCTGACTCTTTCATCTTACCTTAAAAAGGTCAAAATTAGTTTTGGTGGCCATTTTGAAAAGGAATAAACAAATGAATATTTCGATTAAATTAAATTATGTTATTTGTTAATTAAATATTCATTCTGTCCAAACTGGAACAATTATTTTTATTTCGCTGTCAATGTTCAGTCATAATTATTAGACTGTATCACGTAGCCACCAAATATGATTAATGATCATATGGCCAATTGATCCCTTCTTTGAGTATGTTCGATCTCATATTTTGAAAGAAGTTGTTAAAGCTTTTGTGAAAGTAATTGGATGTTTTATGACAAATTTGCCTTACTGTAGGTAAATGTCAAGTTTGTTTAGCTTACCAATAGGAGTCTTTTTCAGTTAATGTTGCCAAAAAATGAATGTAAAACACACTCATTTAAATACAAATCTTAACAATAACTCCTTATAGGATGCGTGTATGTGTGCTTTAATCACGTGCACGATTACCAAGAACGATTTTAACCTTCTATTTAATTACGTAGATTGGAATATCTTGGCTGAAATATGGACTCGTATCCAGTAGCTCTACAACTAAGGTCGAATATGCTGCGGAAATATCAAGTATATAAGGTTCGATTGTTGTATTATACAATCTACATAGCTACGCTATAGACTAGCTGATATACTTGTTAAAATCTCTTTGATATGTCCAGTTGTATATAAGCAGTCCATGTTTTCCTTCTTTCTCTGTGAAGATCTGAATTAGTGTGTACAGCAATGAATACCTAAAAATAAACCATATCGCAATGATATTATTTTGATATTACAGTATTGTCATTCCTATTGTTTTTATTGGTGTTTGATTGAACAATAACACGTGTAGTGTGCTAAAAGTCCGTATTATAGCATTCAAATATTGAAATCTGTTAATTTTACAGAATTTGCACTTATATTTATTTTGCTCTATTATTTAAAAAGCATGGAACTTGCTAATGTGGGTAAAAAAAAGCCTAAACGTTACACGGCAGCATCTGACCTTGTGAAGGTCATGGCGCATGATTGTTTATTATGTTTTAAAAAGAAATTTAATTCTGATATTTTTAATATGAAAAGGGAAAGCCTAAAAAGGGTGTAGCTTTTGTTGATCTCTGATATTTAATTAATGGCGTCATTGATTCAAAATTATATTGTGAATACTTTTTCATCAATCTTCAATGACACAAAAAAAAAGTAGATACGGGAGACCGGGGCAAGTTCGGCTACCCCTGATATTTTTGTTTGTTTTTAGCTAAAAATTACAACTTTAAGGATCTTAGCTGTTTAGTTGGCTGGACATTCTACTAAAAAAATGGCGCGGAAAACTCTAATGTAAAATTACTAAACAATCTAATAATCAGATATATTGTTGTTTAGCTTTAATATAATAGTTAGTATTTGTCAAGGTTAAAAACACATTCCAACCTTATTACAGTTTTTTGAAATAAAAAAAAAACAAGTCTCAAAACTCACAACCATGTTTGGAAATGAATAAATAGAAGAGATAATGCCCTTCGGAAAATTGAAAATCTACTGTTGTTGATGTCTGATATAATAAAAAAAGTCTGAATACCATGAAGTCTAACTTAGGATGTGTCTTTTTTAATATGAAAAGAGAAAGCGTTTAAAGGGCGTAGCTTTTGTTGATCTCTGATATTTAATGAATGGCGTCATTGATGCAAAAAATATATTGTGAATACTTTTTTTTATCAATCATCAATGACACAAACAAATCTGCATACTGGAGACCAGGGCAAGTTCGGCTACCCCTGATATTTTTAGATAGAGTTTCTTTCATAATTTGTAAAGACTTGTATAACTGAAATAATAAAAATTGTGCTCTACATTACAAATTACTTTTTATTATTAGTATTGGTGATGTTGTTCTTATTGATAATTATGTATCACGTTTTGGGAATATCTCGAACTGTGGTGTAACAATTGACAGAAATCAAACTGGATTTTTAATATTGCTACATACGAAGACTTGGCGAGCAGTCGGACACATGGAGTCCATTTCAGTATTTAGTACTACGAATAGATTATATTGAAGTCGCCGATAGGGGGCCCTGGCAGTCGATTACGTTATGAAAGTGTGTGTTGACGGAACTACGAGTGCATATAATGTATAACTCGTTATTTAGCGAGTTTTTTTTTCCTGTTGCAAATATTTAAAGTTGGCGGTAACAACACAAATCGACATTCGATGTCGAGGTGGAATGCCGAGCACAGTAGCGACCGGAATGTGTCTCCAATGCATGACGTGTGGCGAAAACCTTCGTCTTATTGCACACAGCTGTAAGATGTGAAAACAGAAAGGACCTGCCTATGCATGTCTTTGAGTGGTCCATATGCATCATTGATTAGGCCTACCATGAAAGTATGTTAAAGATACCCGCTTGGCTTATGCATAAAATTCACTCGACTTGACACAGTTCTCTGAAGCAGACGATGTAGTACTCGATTTATGTCCGCCATATTTAAGAATGAGACTTAAGCATGCTAAACACCGTTCTCAAATATTGGTCCATTCTCAGCTTAAAATCTAAGAATTGAGAATTAAGAATGTTGTAGATAGCCAAAAGTTGAGTATATGCTTAAAGTTAAGCATATACTAAAAAATAAGCATTGAGAACGTAATCAATTATCTGCATAAGCTCAACACCAAGTTTGAATAACTAAGATGAATTCAACATACCGGATGTCCAATCTTGGACAATGCATACATTTGTTCTGTATTAAGAAATGCATGCGCGGGCAAATTTTATTGCGATGCTTTTCGAGGTTCCCTGCTCTTACATTTGTCTACACCGTCGAATAAACCGCAGAGAGGGGGTTATTCTATCTCGGCTCCGTACTGATCATTCACTTCACGTATATTTCTATCAGGTAAATTGGGGGTATCCACCTTCATGTCACGCATGCTACTACCCATTTACAGTGAAACACATTTTGATAGAATGTTCAGATTTTAGATACATAACTGATTTATTGTTCATTGTAACGGACATGCAAACCCTTTTAACACCGTAGACTTGTAGGCAGTATTTAACTATATAAAAGACATTGGTCTATAAGATAAACAGTGATCAATTTACCTTCGTCACACTTTTTACGACATATACACATCATCTCTTTCTATTTCAGTCTTCACATGGTACATGTATTTTTGAATAAATGTAACCACCTTGCAACACTTTGACTTTGACCTTGCAACACTCTTTTTGAAGATATCTTTCTGTAGAAATATTAACAGAACCGGGTTCTTCAGAAAACATCCGCATATTTGTTGTTGTGCCTGTGGCAAAAACTGAATTACAAAAAAGTATTGAAACACCGA